TTAAATCTCCTGGGCCTGATCAAGTCCATCCTCTGACGTTGTGGGAAGCTAGGGAAGAAATTTCAGAGGCCCTTGCAGAGATTTTTACTTCATCTTTAGCCACTGGTGAAGTTCCAGAAGTCTGGAGGGTGGCTAATGTTGTTCCATTGTTTAAGAAAGGTAGCAAAGACCAGCCAGGGAACTACAGGCTAGTGAGCCTGACATCAGTGGTAGGCAAGTTATTGGAGAGGATAATGTGGGACAGGATCAACCAACATTTGGATAGTCATGGTCTGATTAGGGATAGTCAGCATGGATTTGTGCACGGGCAGTCATGTCTGACAAATCTTTACCAGTTTTTTGAAGAGGTAACCAAGAGGATAGATTTGGGTGTATATATGATAGATGTCTATATGGACTTAAGTGAGGCCTTTGCCAAGGTCCCACACGGCAGGCTAGTCATGAAGTTTAGTTCACATGGGATCGAGGGAGACCTATCTAATTGGATTCATATTGACCTGATGGTAGGAAGCAGAGGGTGATGGTTGAAGGTTGTTTCTTGGACTGGAGGTCTGTGGCTAGTGGTGTGCCACAGGGTCGTTGCTGGGACCTTTGTTATTTGTTATTTACATAAATGATCTGGATGTGAATGTGCAAGGAATGATTAGTAAGTTTGCGGATGATACAAAATTAGGAGGAATCTTTGATAGCGAGGAAGGTTATCAAAAATTACAGAGGGATCTTGATCAGATGCGGAAGTGGGCTGAGGATTGGCAAATGCAATTCATAGAACATAGAACATAGAACATTACAGCGCAGTACAGGCCCTTCGGCCCTCGATGTTGCACCGACCTGTGAAACCAATCTGAAGCCCATCTAACCTACACTATTCCATTATCATCCATATGTTTATCCAATGACCATTTAAATGCCCTTAAAGTTGGCGAGTCTACTGCTGTTGCAGGCAGGACATTCCATGCCCTTACTACTCTCTGAGTAAAGAACCTACCTCTGACGTCTGTCCTATATCTATCGCCCCTCAATTTAAAGCTATGTCCCCTCGTGCTAGCCATCACCATTCGAGGAAAAAGGCTCTCGCTGTCCACCATATCTAATCCTCTGATCATCTTGTATATCTCTATTAAGTCACCTCTTAACCTTCTGCTCTCTAACGAAAACAGCCTCAAGTCCCTCAGCCTTTCCTCATAAGACCTTCCCTCCATACCAGGCAACATCCTGGTAAATCTCCTCTGCACCCTTTCCAATGCTTCCACATCCTTCCTATAGTGCAGCGACCAGAACTGTACACAATACTCCAAGTGTGGCCGCAGCAGAGTTTTGTACAGCTGCAACATGACCTCATGGCTCCGAAACTCAATCCCTCTACCAATAAAACCTAACACACCGTACGCCTTCTTAACAACCCTATCAACCTGGGTGGCAACTTTCAGGGATCGATGCACATGGACACCGAGATCTCTCTGCTCGTCCATACTACCAAGAATCTTACCGTTAGCCCAGTACTCTGTATTCCTGTTACTCCTTCCAAAGTGAATCACCTCACACTTTTCCGCATTAAACTTCATTTGCCACCTCTCAGCCCAGCTCTGCAGCTTATCTATGTCCCCCTGTAACCTGCAACATCCTTCCTCACTATCCACAACTCCACCGACTTTGGTGTCATCTGCAAATTTACTAACCCATCCTTCTACGCCCTCATCCAGGTCATTTATAAAAATGACAAACAGCAGTGGCCCCAAAACAGATCCTTGCGGTACACCACTAGTAACTGAACTCCAGGATGAACATTTCCCATCAACCACCACCCTCTGTCTTCTTACAGCTAGCCAATTTCTGATCCAAACCGCTAAATCACCCTCAATCCCATGCCTCCGTATTTTCTGCAATAGCCTACCGTGGGGAACCTTATCAAACGCTTTACTGAAATCCATATACACCACATCAACCGCTTTACCCTCATCCACCTGTTCGGTCACCTTTTCAAAGAACTCAATAAGGATTGTGAGGCACGACCTACCCTTCACAAAACTGTGTTGACTATCCCTAATCAAATTATTCTTTTCTAGATGATTATAAATCCTATCTCTTATAATCCTTTCCAACACTTTACCCACAACCGAAGTAAGGCTCACTGGTCTATAATTACCAGGTTTGTCTCTACTCCCCTTCTTGAACAAGGGGACAACATTTGCGATCCTCCAGTCTTCTGGCACTATTCCTGTAGACAATGACGACATAAAGATCAAAGCCAAAGGCTCTGCAATCTCCTCCCTAGCGTCCCAGAGAATCCTAGGATAAATCCCATCCGGCCCAGGGGACTTGTCTATTTTTACACTTTCCAGAATTGCTAACACCTCCTCCTTATGAACCTCAATCCCGTCGAGTCTAATAGCCTGTATCTCAGTATTCTCCTCGACAACATTGTCTTTTTCCTGTGTGAATACTGATGAAAAATATTCGTTTAGCGCCTCTCCTATCTCTTTGGAATCCACGCACAACTTCCCACTACTGTCCTTGACTGGCCCTAATCTTACTCTAGTCATTCTTTTATTCCTGACATACCTATAGAAAGCTTTAGGGTTTTCCTTGATCCTACCTGCTAAAGACTTCTCATGTCCCCTCCTGGCTGTTCTTAGCTCTCTCTTTAGGTCCTTCCTGGCTAACTTGTAACTCTCAAGCGCCCTAACTGAGCCTTCACGCCTCATCTTTACATAAGCCTCCTTCTTCCTCTTGACAAGAGATTCAACTTCTTTAGTAAACCATGGTTCCCTCGCTTGACCACTTCCTCCCTGACTGACAGGTACATACTTATCCAGGACACGCAGTAGCTGTTCCTTGAACAAGCTCCACATTTCAATTGTGCCCAGCCCCTGCAGTTTCCTTCTCCATCCTATGCATCCTAAATCTTGCCTAATCGCCTCATAATTGCCTTTCCCACAGCTATAACTCTTGCCCTGCGGTATATACCTATCCCTTTCCATCGCTAAAGTAAACATAACCAAATTGTGGTCACTATCACCAAAGTGCTCACCTACCTCCAAATCTAACACCTGGTCTGGTTCATTACCCAGTACCAAATCCAATGTGGCCTTGCCTCTTGTTGGCCTATCTACATACTGTGTCAGGAAACCCTCCTGCACACATTGGACAAAAACTGACCCATCTAAAGTACTCGAACTATAGCGTTTCCAGTCAATATTTGGAAAGTTAAAGTCCCCCATAACAACTACCCTGTTACTTTCGCTCCTATCCAGAATCATCTTTGCAATCCTTTCCTCTACATCTCTGGAACTTTTCAGAGGCCTATAGAAAACTCCCAACAGGGTGACCTCTCCTTTCCTGTTTCTAACCTCAGCCCATACTACCTCAGTAGACGAGTCCTCATCAAACGTCCTTTCTGCCACTGTAATACTGTCCTTGACAACAATGCCACAGCTCTCCCTCTTTTACCACTTTCCCTGATCTTACTGAAACATCTAAACCCCGGATCCTGCAACAACCATTCCTGTCCCTGCTCTATCCATGTCTCCGAAATGGCCACAACATTGAAGTCCCAGGTACCAACCCATGCTGCAAGTTCACCCACCTTATTCCGGATGCTCCTGGCGTTGAAGTAGACACACTTCAAACCACCTTCCTGCCTGCCGGTACACTCCTGCGACCTTGAAACCTTATTCATGACCTCACTACTCTCAACCTCCTGTACACTGGAGCTACAATTCAGGTTCTCATCTCCCTGCTGAATTAGTTTAAACCCTCCTGAAGAGCATTAGCAAATTCCCCCCCCAGGATATTGGTACCCCTCTGGTTCAGGTGTAGACCATCCCGTTTGTCGAGGTCCGACCTACCCCAGAATGAGCCCCAATTATCCAGGTATCTGAATCCCTCCCTCCTGCACCATCCCTGTAGCCACGTGTTCAACTGCTCTCTCCCTATTCCTCGCCTGGCTAGCACATGGCATGGGTAACAAACCAGAGATAACAACTCTGTTTGTTCTAGCTCTAAGCTTCCACCCTAGCTCCTTGAATTTCTGCCTTACATCCCCATCCCTTTTCCTGCCTATGTTGTTGGTGCCTATGTGGACCACGACTTGGGGCTGCTCCCCCTCCCCCTTAAGGATCCCGAAAACACGATCTGAGACATCACGGACCCTGGCACACCAACCGCGAGTCTCTCTCGTTCCCACAGAATCTCCTATCTGTCCCCCTAACTATGGAGTCCCCAATGACTAATGCTCTCCTCCTCTCCCCCCTTCCCTTCTGAGCAACAGGGACAGACTCTGTGCCAGAGACCTGTACCCCATGGCTTACCCCTGGTAAGTCGTTCCCCCCCAAACAGTATCCAAAACGGTATACTTGTTATTGAGGGGACCGGCCACAGGGGATTCCTGCCCTGTCTGCCTGTTCCCTTTCTGTCCCCTGACTGTAACCCATCTACCTTTTTCCTGTACCTGAGGTGTGACTACCTCCCTGTAACTCCTCTCAATTACCCCCTCAGCCTCCCAAATGATCCGAAGTTCATCCCGCTCCAGCTCCAGTTCCCTAATGCGGTTTCCGAGGAGCTAGAGTTGGGTGCACTTCCCGCAGATGAAGTCAGTGGGGACACTAGTGGTGACCCTTACTTCCCACATTCTACAGGAGGAGCATGCAACTGCCCTAACATCCATTCCCACTGTTCTGAATTCTGAAAAAAAAATAAACTAGCAACCTTACCAAATCGGCACTCAGAACCTTTTTTGTTGGTTACAGGAGGAGGATGGGTGGGAGACACTACCTAAGTAGTGTTTCGGGTAAAGCAACCGCCCAAATATATTACCTCACTTACTCAGTCATCCCGTGTCCGCTCCTGCTCGGCGTGCGCTCCACCTATTCATGAGGTAAGTTTTTAAAGGATTAACTTACCTTCCTGGCAGCCCCCTGGTCCTCACTGTCACTGCTCCCGCTGCTGCTGCAAAAATGGAGGCCGCTGATCCCACGAGGTAAGCTTTTAAACGATTAACTTACCTTCCCGGCAGCCCCCTGGTCCTCGCTCTCACTGCTCCCGCTGCTGCTGCAAAAATGGAGAATGCAGACTAGTGTGAGGTATTATGCTTTGGAAAGTCAAACCAGGGTAGGGGATTTATACAGTAATTGGTAAGGTCCTGAGGAGGGTTGTGGAACAGAAGGACCTAGGTGTACAAGTACATAGTTTGTTGAAATCAGTGTCACAGGTAGACAGGGTGATGAAGAAGGCGTTTAGCATGCTGACCTTCATCGGTCAGGATATTGAGTACAGGACTTGAGACGTTATATTACAGTTGTATAAGTCATGGGTGAGGCCTCACTTGGAGTATTGTGTACAGTTTTGGTCACCTTGTTATAGGAAAGATGTAGTCAAACTGGAAAGTGTGCAAAGAAGATTTACAAGGATGTTGCCAGGACTAGTAGGCCTGGGAGAGGTTGGCCAGGATAGGACTTTATTCCTTGGAATATATGAGAATGAGGGGTGACCTTATTGAGGTGTATAAAATAAGGAGGAGCATAAGGAGGAGCATCTACCTCAACGCTGTGTTCCCAAGCTGTCCCCAAATCCCTTGATTTCATTAATATTTAGAAATCCAACAATATCTCCCTTGAATGTGCCTAATGATTGAACTTCCACAGCTCTCTGGGGTAGACAACACCAAAGATTCACCACCTTCTGAGTTTCCTAAGAAGAGTTTCCTCCTTATCTCAGTCCTAAATAGCTTTTATTCTGAGTTTGTGTGCTCTGGTTGCAAACCCTAATGCCAGGAGAAACATTCTTTCTGTATCCTCTCTGTCTATGCCATTATAAGTTTTGTAATTTTCTCTGAGATCACCTCTTCTTCTAAAACCCAGGCCCAGTCTCCTCATACTGTCCTCATAGGACAGCCGCAACATCCCAGGAACCAGTCCAATGAACCTCCGCTGCACTCCCTCAATGGCAAGTATATCCTTTCTTAAGCAAAAGAACTGAATACAGTGCTCCAGGGTGATGTTGTCAGTGATCCAGTTGAAGCAAGTCTTCTTTGTCCCATGCCCAAATCCTCTTGCAATGAAGGTTAACATTTTTGTTCCTCTTCCGAATTGTTCGCTGGACCTGCATGCCAGCTTTCAGTCACTTACAAACAAGGACATCTAGATTTTCCAATCTCTCACAACATTGCTTTACTAATTCTTTTGCCATCTCTCTTAATCCCTTCATATTCCCTTCATACTGGAAGGTCAAGTACTGGTGGAAATTATAGTGTGAATGGCAGATCCCTTTGGAGTATTGATATGCAGAGGGATCTGGTTGTGTAGATCCACAGATCACTGAAGGTGGCAGCGCAGATAGATGAGTAGTAAAAACGTCCTATGGCATGCTTGCCTTCATTGGAAGGGGCATTGAGTATAAGGAAAGGCAAGTTATATTGCATACAGTTCTGGTCGCCAGATCAGAAGGATGTGGATGCTTTGGAGAGGGTACAAAAAGGGTTTACCAGGATGTTGCCTGGTATGGGGGATTTTTGCTATGAAGAAAGGTTGGATACACTGGGTTTGTTTTCACTGGAATGCAGGAGGTTGAGTGGTGACCTGATAGAAGTTTATAAGATTGTGAACGGCATGGATAAAGTGGAAAGTGTGAAGCTTTTTTGCAGTATCGAGGGGTCAATTACTGGGGGACACAGGTTCAAGATGTGGGGGGAATGTTTAAAAGAGATGTGCAGGCATCACCATTTCACACCGTGGTGGGTGCCTGGAACGCGCTGCCAGAGGAGGTGGTGAAAGCAGACACAATAGCAGCATTCGAGAAGAACCTGTAAGTAAAGACAGTCTTAGTGTGGAAGGGCAAAATGTGTCAGTGCAGGCTTAGAGGGCTGAGGGCCTGTTCCTGTGTTTGCTCTTTGTTCTTTGCAATTTGCTATCTTGCTCTGATACACCTTGTACCTTGCCCAGCCTGCACTCTACGACCCCTATCTATCCGACACCCTACTTGCTTGGCATCCTACCCTGGCATCCTGCCACCTCTTCAACTGACACCCAACCCCTGGCATCCTGCCCCTGTCTAGCTGGCATGCTACCCAGCTTTTGCCCTACTTATCTGGCACTTCAGCTGGTACTTAACTAATCTGGCACCCTATCCCCTACTCATCTGGTAAGCTATTCCTAGAACCCTTCTCCCTCCCAGTTCACATCCTACTTACCTGACACACTGCCCACCTTCCACCCGACTGGCTTGAACCCCCATTCCTCCACCCATCTGGCACCCTATCTTCCCTGCACCCTAACATTACACTTAGTTCAAATACTTACCATTTGACAGCAGCTCCGCAAAAACTCTGCATGAGATTTCCACTTGTCCGAAAATCAGCTCAAAATGTCAATATATTGCCATTTTTGAAGGAAACGTGTACACAAATATATTACTAGATTCCAACCAACTCACCATTCCTTTGAGCTGCACTGCCTCAGATAACAGATGTCAATAAAGTTGTTGCAATGAAATAAAATCCCGTTGTTGGAGCAAGAGAAAAAATGTGAACCCCATCGTTTCCTAGCCAGTTTGCAAGTCAATGTTTATCTTTCCAGGCCACAATATTTAAATTAATACCCAGGTGCAGATTACCAAATCCCATTTTAGTTTATATTCATTTCATGATAAAACTAGCATAAAAGTGATTAGCTAATTTGTCATTCATTATCCTAATTTGTTTTTCTTTCAAATTATTGTATTCCTTGGATTCACAAAACAACATACTAAATCCAGATTACAAGTCACAGATACTGGATGTTACATGTATTTTTCCTTCATTGCTACAGACCTAATTTGTTAGATCATTAATCAGAAACTGAATATATCCAGTCATATAAAGCAACCCAATTGATGGGGACCCAGTCCACCACCTTCAACATTTACTACCTTCACCATCAATGCACAGTGACATCAGAGTGCATCATCTACAAGTTGCACTGCAGCAACCCACGAAGACTCCTTTAATACCACCTTTGAAACCTATGACCTCTACCGCCTTGAAAAACAAGGGTATCAGATGCATGGGAACAACACCATCTCCAAATTCCCCACCAAGCCTCCACACCATCCTGACATGAACTATATCACTGTTCTTTCACCGTTACAGAATCATAATCCTGGACCTTCCTTCCTAGCAGTCTTTTTGGATGTATCTATCCTTATTTGTTTGCAGGTATGGGTGTTGTTGGCTAGTTAAGCATTAATTAGACATCGTAATTGCCCTGGAGATGGTGGTGGTGAGGTGCCTTCTTGAGCTATTGCAGTTCTCAGAGTATAGCAAAGCCACAGTGCTATTAGGAAGTGAGTTCCAGAGGTCTAGGCCCGAAACGTAAGCCTTCCTGCTCCTCTAAAGCTGCTTGGCCTGCTGTGTTCATCCAGCTCTACACCTTGTTATCTCAGATTCTCCAGCATCTGCAGTTCCTACTATCTCTCGACAGCCCCAGGGAGTCCAGTGGTTCAAGAAGGTGACTCACCACTACATCCCCGAGGGCTTTTAACAATGGGCAATAAATGCTAGCCAGCAATGTTGACAGCCCAATAATTTCAAAAAGTAATTTTTATAGTCCATTGCACCACAAACACGGAGGTCTTCTGGCTTGTTAGATAGCATTCCTATCTCTGAATCTAGGTTTGAGTTTCACCTCAGGACTGAATCGCCCAGGAAAATGCATTCATAACACTGCCAAACAGGTTGGTATCAATCTGCAAATTCTTCCAACACATGACAATGGCAAATGGTAAGAGTGGGAGAGATCCCTAGTCTGCCATTTGATGGAAAGAACGTTAGAGCTACTACCAACTTTCCCTAACTTCAGACTATGACCTGCAGAAGTGCATGTTGCGACTCTCCCAGTGGTCTGTAAAATACCACAAACATGAATTATATTAATGTCAGCAATCATCCAACATTTGAATGTAGGAGGAACATTACGCTGGTATCAAAATCAGTCCATAGTTTTACGAAGAAGCAATGGTCAAATCCCTGCCTCTAAGCTAGAAACTCTTTGCTCAAGTCCCTACCCAGGACTTTACAGCCAAGGAAGTTGCATTCATAACATGGCTAAATAGCTTTAATTTTAACTTATAAACCCTTCCAATATATGCCAATAGCAGACAGTAACAGTTGGAGTTTGCTGGATAACCATGTGATGGAAAGAAATTGGAGCTCTACAATCATTATCTGTAATTCCATGCAATGACATGCATGTAAATGTGAATGTTATCACAGCAATTCTGACTTCTTGAGAGGCAGGTTGGATCAGTTGACTGGATGGTCAGTGTGGATCAGATTGATGCAAACAGCACAGGGTTTGATCCCTATTCCACTTAATGTTTATTTGGGACCTCTCTCCTTGCCCTACCTGTAGTGGAGGTCATGGCATTGTGGGGAGAGCCTACCCTTGGGCAGACAACTCAAGAAGTTTAATAGAGCTACCAAACATTTTTCAACTTGTGCGTCACTCTTTTTAAAGGATAATAATCTGAAAATCAAGTTTTCCACCACTCATGAGATGTTAAGTCATAACACTGTCAGCCAATTTATATGAATGTAAAAAATTTGTGACAATTTGAAGCAGAGCTGGGAGCAAAGTTCTGCTCATGTCCTATCAACAATTGTCCCTTAACAAACACCAAGAACTATTTAATTGATTATTCAACTCATTTGCTGTTTGTTGGAACCTTACTGTGCACAAATTGACTGCTGCATTTATCCACTTAAAAAACTGATTTCACTTCAAGATTGAGTTAAAACATGCTCGACACCATGACAGTGTGAAAGCTGCAATATCATCAGTTCTTTAATTATACTTACCGTACACCTATTTATAAGGCTAACTTTGAAAACCATGCACAAAACCTAGTAATGTCAGATAAAAAAGCATATCATTTCCAGGTAAAGAGATTACTCTGAGCAGAGTTAGAAGCCTGGAAGAGTGAAAATAGCTATGTAGCGAACAGAAAGGGAAGGAGACAGATAGACTGATAGGAAGGCAGAGATGTGCACCAAGAGATACAGATGGAGATAAGGAGAGTGGGGATGAAAGTAGATGGAAGGAGTGGAAAATGGATAGAGGGACATGGGGACACAGGAGTAAATGTCATAAATTTATCAAAGTAGGATAAGATAATCCCTTGTTTCTTTTGTTGGAGGCATTGGTAAGGAAAAGTGCACTCTTGTTTTAATTTTGGCAATAGTTGTTTTAAGCTTGTATTTTTCTGTCTTGCAAAAGCTGCTGCTGCTGCATGTAGATCTGTTTTAGTGGTATGTAATAGTTATCTGTCTTGTCCCATCCTCACTGTAGCTCATTTGACACATAGGTCGACCCTCTTTCTACTGTCCCCTGTTTTGCTTGTGGATGAGACCTCTGTAGCTTTTTAGTTTTAATTAAACAACTGAAATTATCATATTTTATTTTCTGGATGTCATTTTTGCTCTTGCAATTTCAAGTACTGTATTGTGTATCATTGTGGTCCCCAATTTGTAGGAAAGATGCAAATGTATTGGAAAGTGTGAAGAAGCAATTTACTAGAACGGTTCCAGGTGTGAGAAACTTTAGTTATGAGACCAGATTGAAGAAGTTTGGATTGTTTTACGTGGAGAGCGGACAGCTGATTAAGAAAAAAATCTTATAGATCTATGATCTATGATCTGTTTAAAGTTTTCAAATTCATGAGCAGGCCAGACAGAGTAAATGGGGTGAAGCTGTTTCTGCTTGTAAAAGAAAACAAGGACAAGAGGGCATAGATTTAAAGAGAAGTGCAAACAAAGCAAGGGCGATGTGAGAAAAAGCTTTTTCATACAGCGAGTTGTTACAGTGTGGAATGCACTGCCTGGAAATGTGTTGGTGGCATCAGGTTCAATTGAGACATTCAAAAGGGCATTAGATGGTTTATTGCATATAATGGAGTGCAGAGATATGGGAAAAAGGCAGGAGATTGGCACAAGATAATAGATCTGGTACAGGTCCTTCTGCACTGTAATAATTAAGTGATTTGTCTTATGATCTGTATATGGAGAGATCAACTTTTAATTCCATGGGGTTAGGGAGATCATGAAGCTGCACATACATTTTGCTACTTCAAAGTCTGATTTTTATCCCTGGATTGCTAGGGATAGGGGTGTATGTTTTTTCCATGTGCCTCATGCAGGGTTTGATTTTTGTTTGTGTAGGTTGGACTCTAAAAGATTATAATACTGTATCTGCATTAAAAATCTTCAGTATTCTCCCAAGATAATACATCTTGTCTACAGGGAGAAGGAATTCCATGAACAATTTGCTGTGCTATAAATCAGGCACAACAGCAAATACACCAACATTGGCATCTGAGCTAACGATGTTGGGCAGCTTCCAATGAGGATGAATGAGGATAAGGCAATATGGATACCTAGATTTAATGACTGAGTGTGTATCTGGAATGAGCTCATATGGTGAGTGGTAATTATAGATCATAGTTGTGCCATGAACCAAAGGAATTAACCATTCCATAGACATAAGAGCTGATTTGCATTGTGCTACTGCCCCATTTATGCATAGAAATAAAATCAGTGAAATGACAATGTAAGGTTCCTTACTTCATTTTTGACTCTATCTACTTGGTTTTGCAACCTGCATAACAAACCTTGGGTAGTACAGACAGATGATCATTTTCAACAATATTTAAAGAGTTCCTTAGTAACAGAAAGCTAGATGCCTATCTAGAGCATATTTTACTGCAAACATTTGTATGTTTTCAGCCTTCTAATATTTAGTTTGTTTACTGTTAACTGAATGTGGGAAATTGATTGTGATTTAGCTGTTAGTTAAACATTGTGTTTGTGAGTGGGCAATAGTATTTGTAACTGCATGTTACTATATTTTCTTTTTATCTTCAATTAGGAATTGGGAAGAATGTCATCTGTGACAGAGCTGCAACTCCTCTGGATGCATTTAGAATGATGTCAGCAGCACATTATTATCCCAAACTCATGAGTATAATGGGTAACGTTCTCCGCTTCCTCCCTGCATTTGTTAAGATGAAACAAATGATTCAAGAGGGCTATGTCGGAGATCTATTGATCTGTGAAGTTCAGGTTCATAGTGGAAGTCTTCTGGGTAAGAAATACAACTGGAGCTGTGATGATCTGATGGGGGGTGGAGGGCTACATTCAGTGGGAAGCTACATTATTGACCTTTTGACTTTTCTGACCAGCCAAAAAGCTGCCAAAGTCCATGGTTTCTTGAAAACGTTTGTGAAGCAGACAGAGCATATCAGAGGTATTCGTCAAATCACTAGTGATGACTTTTGCACCTTCCAAATGGTTTTAGAAGGTGGTGTGTGCTGCACTGTAACTTTGAATTTCAATGTCCCTGGGGATTTTAAACAAGAAATCATTGTAGTGGGGTCCACTGGCCGATTAATGGTTAATGGCAGTGACTTGTATGGACAAAGAAATAATGCATCTCAAAAGGAGTTGATTTTAGAAGACTCAACTCCTGTAAGTAATGCACTGCTCCCAGAAAAAGCTTTTAGGGATATCCCATCCCCATTCCTCAGAGGTACTATCATGATGGTTCAAGCTATTCGACAGGCATTCCAGGACCAAGAAGATCGACGGACCTGGGATGGAAGACCATTAACAATGGCAGCAACATTTGAGGATTGTTTGTATGCACTGTGTGTGGTGGATACCATTAAAAAATCAAACAAGACCGGTGAATGGCAGAACATTGTGATTATGACAGAGGAGCCTGAGATTAGTCCTGCATATTTGATCAGCGAGGCCATGCGTCGCAGCAGAATGTCATTATTATACTAACTGCTTTTTTAACAATACTTGTAACAAGTTCACTAGTAGTAGGTTCAGTAGGTGAAAGGAACTTATATATTTGGATGCACAGATATGTTAATGCTATATGTCTGTGACTTCCTGGTTTAAATATATATTGACATAACTGCAGGATTTACTTGCAAGTAAGATTAAAATTATACAAAGTAAGACTAAAATTATGTGTCTGGTAAGAAAAATGCCATTAAAGCAAAAAAGTGTTTAATAACTACTGAGGAGTACACCTGTTGGTGGTCATTGTTAAGCTTTTGAAAAGGCAATGGCTTTCATTACCATGTGACATGTTAACTTCCTTGTAATTCAAGCAACTTGTTTTGGAGATCACTTTGTTTGGAAATATTGCAATTTTGCACGCCAGGCACAGAATTTTAAAGAAATATAGCAGATATTTAGAGCTCTGATAGTTTTAGTTGACAGAAAATCGAGTCAGCCACAGTCATATGTATGAACTTCTATTCATTATTTTCTTCTGTAAATGCCCTAAATAATCATATTTACCACTGAAGAATAGATCTTGTTAAAATCTTAATATTTTGCATCAGTCAACTCTAAGTCTGACTAAATAGTTCACAATGTAATGCTTTTGCAATAATAATTGCTTTCACAGTAGAGTGATGGAAAAGATTCCTTTAACAGGGAACATGTAGATTCCTGGTGTTTGGCTGAGGAACATTATTGGTCAACAGTTGCAAGTAAGTTTCCAAGTTACATTTTGAAAAGGTGCTTAGCAAGAGGAAACTCAAAGAAGATGAGGATAAATTGAGAAGTTAAAAAATGAAAACTGCATTTTGAAAAAGTAATTTGTTCTACGGTCCTGTATAGTAGTGTGTTGATTTTACTGAACCAGTAATCCAAAGTCCTGGACTAATAATTCAATGAATGTGATTTCAAATCCCACTAAGGCAGCTTGAGAATTCAGTTTAAAACAAAATCAAGTAATGTTAAAAAAAAGGCAATCCAAAACTGACTATCTGATTGTCAAAAATCCACCTGGTTCACCGATATCATATACAGAAAGAATTCCTTTAGACAGGTGATTCTGTTCCCACATCAATATGATTAACGCTTAAATGGCCTCTAAAGTAACGTAGAATGGAATTCATTTGGGCTGCCAGAGGTTTAAGAAGAAAGTTCAGCACTTTCTCAGGGCAAACAAGGGCCGACATAAAAGCTAGCCTTATCGACATCCCAACAATAAATAAAAAAAACATGAATGCTGGTGCTGTTTTCCTTATCATATGCTGCTTACTTTCTTAAACTACAACACAAATATTAAGCAAGGCTGGGATATGTAAACTAAAACCATAAGGAAGCAAATGTCACTGGTGTATAATCTGTGCCGTAGATTTGCCAAAATATGAATGTTCCATCCTTCATCGATTGACATTGCATCTAAGCTTCCCCAAGTGACAAATTGTCAGTCTCAATTGGGCAATTAAACAAACCAATGGGCATCAAAAAAGTTTTGTGTCAAAAAGACTGAGCAAGCATGGGTTTCACTCAGGTCAGTACTCATTTCTTCTTGTACATGCAGTGATTAAGGTTTTTGTTTTTTGTGTTATTCTTTCGTGGGATGCCAGTTCATTGCCTATCCCTAAGTGACCTTGAGCAGGTGATGCTGAGTAAGTTCTGCAAACAGGAACATAGGAGTATCAGCAGTCCATTCGGCCCTTGAACTATTCAGCTAGGTTATGGATGATCTTCTACCTCAATACAATTTTCTCACATAATCTCCATATACATTCATGTCTTTAATATGTAGAAATCTTATTGATCTCTGTCGTGAATATACTCAATGACTGAGCCTTCACAACCTTTTGGGGTAGAGAATCCCAAAGATTCACCCCCTTGGTGAGAAATTTCATCTCATCAGCATGACTAAATGACCTAGTCCTTGTTCTGAGACTAACTTGCTGATTCTAGACTCCCTATCTAGGGGAAACATCTTTGCATATATACCCTGCTGACCACTCTAAGAATTTCAATCAGATTACCTCTCATTCTTTTACATTCTTTTACACTTGAGGGGTGGCACGGTGGCACACTGCTGCCCCACAGCGCCAGGAACCCGGGTTCAATTCCAGCCTTGGGTGACTGTCTGTGTGGAGTTTGCACATTCACCCAGTGTTTGCGTGGATTTCCTCCGGGTGCTCCGGTTTCCCCCCACAGTCCAAAGATGTGCAGGCTAGGTGGATTGGCCATGCTAAATTGCTTGTAGTGTTCAGGGGTGTGTAGATTAGGTGGGTTATAGGGGGATGGGTCTGGGTGGGATGCTCTGTGGGTCGGTGTGGACTTGTTGGGCCGAAGGGCCTGTTTCCACACTGTAGGGATTCTATGATTCTATGACTCTAGAGAATATAGGACCACCCTCATCAATTTCTTCTCCCAGGAATGAGTCTGGTGAGACTTTATGGTACTCCCTCCATGAGAACTGTATACTTCCTTCAGGAAGGAGACCAAGCTGTACACAATCTAGATGTTAGTTTTTATGAAGAACACCCATGTTCTTTTGTACATTAACACTTCTCAATCTCTCACCAGATATTATGCATTTTTGTTTTCCTAGCAAAGTAGCTAACTTAACTTTTCTCCACATATATTCCATCTGACATGTTCTTGCCAACTCACTTAGCCTGTCCACATCCCCTTAAGTCTCTTTGCACCCAACTTGCGACTCCAGTTCCTCCCTAGTTTTGTGTCACTGGGAAACTTAGAAGTATTACATTTTACTCAGAAATCACTTGATTAAACCCTTTGCCAAAGTACAGCGTATATCAAAAGAAGATAGAATTATCCTCAAAGTTGAAATCTGTAAATAAGTTAAAATTGTGGGATTGAAGAAAGCAGGACTTCTAACACCCAATCCCTGTAATTATGGTCAATCAGAAGTTTAATGCTTTCATATGAAGAACTCAAAGTAGTTATAATAGTTTTCATGACAGAATATGTTTCCTTCCTTTCAAAGAAGTTTCAAAATCTGAAGTTTTGGAAATTTAAAGAAAATGATACTTAGAACACAAACAGTACAATTTAATTTGAGTTTACAAGATTGAACTACTATTACACTTGAATAGGTTCAATGTGTTCCCTCCCTTCACACGACATTGTGAATGTGAATTGTGGTGGTGTTCCACCAAGATACTGTGAAGAAACCATCTTTCTTCAACCAACATACCCACCCCTCACCAGCCCTCCTTCGCTCTCTGGCACTGAGAAGATGTTACTGGCAATCATGAGTTATAATGTGCTAAGGACGACATTTAGCCCGTTAGACTGACTCTCCTAGCATTTTAAATTAGTGTCAATCTCTTACCTTTTTCCTGTAATCCAGATCATTGATTCTGTTTAAATAATTATCCAATGTCCTCTTAAATGACTTAATTGAATCTGCCTTCACCACACTTCTAGGTAGATTGGTCATGCTAAATTGCCTGTAGTGTTCAGGGATGTGCAGACTAGGTGGATTAGCCATAGTAGATATGGATTTACAGGGATAGTGTAGGGGCTGGGTCTAGGTGGAATGCTCTTCGGAGGGTTGGTACAGACTCGATGAGACAAACAGCCTCTTTCCACATTGTAAGGATTCTATGACTGTATGGGGAAGCATCAGTGAATAGATGCCAGGAAACATTAGGCAGAGTGACATTAAATATTCCTCTGAATATGAGTCCAAACACAGCACATCACTGCAGGGCAATTGTCAGTAAAATGTAGAACAATGTATAATTGCATTTTGAAATATATATATATTTTGAAATGCTTTCAACACTTAACAAGATCTCTGAAACATTGCTTATACAAAGAAAAAGACCTAAAATACAGCAGATAGACACTGCTAAATTGTGATGCTTACTTCAACTAAATGTAACTAGATGTTCTAAGGTGAAACTATTTCTCTACATTCTGAAAATTGTTTGATGTACATTTTATCCATTAGTTGAAGTTATATCATGTTTAAAAGTCACAAGTATGGATTTTTGGATGTTGATACTATCATTTGGGAATTCAGTTTTATCTTTTGAGGAATTTCTCAGCAGTTGCGGGGGAAATCGCTAGAACATTTCTACTTCGGCTGGATCACAAAGCATACAGCGATCTCAGTTCTTTCTTGAGGTTTTAAACTTGTGATAGCACAAAAATCCACAAATACTGTCCATGTTATTCAAGCCCCGTTTAGATACTGATGCTTTTGGAAGTAGAGATACTGATACTGTAACTTGCACTCCCACCGTGGAATTTCTCCCATCCTGAGTATAAATCCAGATATCAGCAGAGAAAATTATGGGAGGAACCCAAGTTCTTCATTTTTCCTTCTATTTGGTGAAGCTCTTGGTTAGGAGTGAAAATTGTCCTATTACTCAAAAGAAAATTTTAAAAAGCTAAAATCACCTACTTTGGACATTCTGTATGCTAAACACACCTACAATCAAAGGCTAAAAGGAGCAACTAAGTAGGTAAGTACCTTGTAAATATATCTGCACTTAGAAGCAGTGTATGACATAATCTGATTCGCATCTAGCAATGATTCTTAAGTAGAGGCCCAACACTGACATCTTGGAAGGGGCAATTAGTTTTCTGAAGGAGAATATATCACTGATTCTGGGAGTTAGTAGATGTGCCATAGATAAAACATTTTTTTTGCAATATGTCTGTAAATTTTAGCATCAAAACTTTAAGTTGTTCACAATAGTACAGCTTTGTATAACGAACAGTTAAATAAAGTTATAGTCCTTTATCTGTTGTAGACAAGAAAGGCAAAGATACAAATGATTAGCAAAAAACCTAGAGGAAACATGAGCAAAAAACTTATATACCATGAGTGGCTAGGACTTGGAATGCACAGTCTGATAAAGTGGTGGATACAGATTCAGATGGGAGTTGGATAAATAATTAAAGGGAAAAATATTGCAAGATTACTGAAAATAAGTAAGGAGCAGTTTGAATTGGACTGCTCTTTGATGAGCCAAATGGCCTCCTTCTGTGCTGTACAATAACAAAAAATGCATGATAAGCAATACTTAAAGGTGTTCAATAATGAATAAAGAATACATCTGTTGGGTGACAGAAATGCAGTGTTACATGCCACTCCTATTTAGATTTGGCTGTCTCTGACTCAACAGTTAATATAAAAGGATACAAAAACAGATGTTGCTGGAAAAGCTCAGCAGGTCTGGCAGCATCTGTGAAGAAAAAAAATCAGAGTTAACGTTTTGGATGCGGTGACCCTGCCTCAGAACTCTGGACCTGAAAAGTTAACTTTGATTTTTTCTTCACAGATGCTGCCAGACCTGCTGAGCTTTCCAGCAACTTCTGTTTTTGTTCCTGATTTATAGCATCTGCAGTCCTTTCGGTTTTTAGTTAGTATAAAAGGATAAATTTGTAATTTGTACCAGCTTTACAAATACAAACAATGAAGATAGATTCAAAGAAATATGCCCCTCCCCCCTATCATTTACATCATACGTGTATTAATCCAAAACATATTTCAAGGATTTAGGCTTGAATTCACTGAGATAGGATTAAAACACAACTTCCAATTGAGGCTGAGTCATTTGTGTCACACACAAAGATCAATTTTCCGGCATATACTGCTCTATTATTTTCAATCTACAATCACATAACAAAACAAAAATTATTTGTAAAATAAGTAATCTATAATAAAAACAATGGCTAAAGTAGATAGTAAATAAATCCATTTTTAGTTTTTGTAAAACATCTTTTGTTGGAATTGAATGAGAAATAGCGCTCACTCAGACTTCTATCTGCATTTGTACTGGAATTTTAATGTTGCTGATGACATGATGTGAATTATTAATTATTACTAAATGTGTTCTTTTAATGGTTTTTGAAGTTCTAGATATATGTACAGAGGAGACTTGTCTGTCTATTCTTTGTGTTATTTATGGTAATGTATTTTTAGCATGAATATCAGTATATATGCAGAAAAAATATTTATCAAGATTAAAATTCAAGTTACTATAAACTATACAAAGTTTATATTTTATACAATATAGATAGGACAGACAAAACAGACTTGGTTTGTTAAAATATTCTAATTTAAAATATGCACAAAACATTTGGACTTTAAGATCCTGGTACTGTGAAGACAGTTAAAATGTTAGGTAAGCTTACTGTATATGTTTGTCGGTCCATTAGATGTAGTTTGTGTTGTTTATTTGGAATAGTAAATGAATGTGCTGCTTTTTGTCTGAGCTTTTCTGGTATGTGTGACTTGTAATATGCAAATTGTTCTGTATGCACTGTCATATTCTGTTACTGCTTTTACGGATTGTTCAACTGCATATATCAGTTTCCTAATGCTGCGTGCCCTCATTTGCAATTAAAGGAATACCACTCATTAAAAGAATTACCAGAAATTGTGTTATGTGTTTCTGAAGAGGGTGCAATAATTGTATTGAAATATATTTTTACTGTACATTTTACAAGTTGTTAATATCTTTAGGAAATGAATAGCCTTATGGAACACAGACATGGTTTCAAGTCTGATATGTAGCTATAGACAAATTGTAGTAAAATGAACACAGTTTTATTAATTGCTTATTATTAGTTCATTATAAGTATGTAGCTAAGATAGTATCTGTGATTAAACAGGTTACACGATAACATGTAGAGGTATACTTTTAAAAAATATTCCGAGTAGTGGAATGCGTAATATTCCTTTTTTTGTAATGACAGCATGAAGCATTACTTGGTCATATATTGTGTGATCAAAATTAGAGCAATATGTTCTCCTCTGATAATAAAGTAATTAAAATAATTTTATTTCAAGCAAATTTATGTAGTGTTTTTAAAATATTAAATCATGATGATTCTGTTGATGGAGTCATTATCCTACATTACCTCTTAAACCTGTCATTCTTTGAAATGTTTGAGAGTTATTTTATCAGTGTTTTCAGCTTTGCAATTATGGCTTCTAGCAGGACATACTAATACTAGTTATTGCATCAAAGTCTATTAATATTTTAGCCAGACATTTTGTATATCAGATTTTTTTCACATTAACATGCTAACTATGTTCTTGTTCGTCATACTAATTAAATGATAAGTTGCATTTATATTGTGCCTTTAATCAAGGATAAAATTCCAAGGTATATCACAGAGAGAAAACAAAATATTAGAATCAGAAGAACAGAAATTTGATTGAAGAAATATAGTCAGAGTAAAATATTTGAGATAGAAAGGGAAGAAGAAAGAAGGCAGGAGGGTGGATCATGAGGTTGAAAGAAAGATTTGCATGTATGCAGTACTTTTCACACCACCACCAGCTGTCTGAAGGTGCTTTACAGCCAATTAAGTACATTTGAAGTGTAGTCACTGCCATGTAGCAAATGTAGCAGTAAACTCCCACAAGCAACTTCATGATAATGATCAGATAATCTGCTTCAGTGATGTTAATTAAGGATAAATGTTGGCCAGAATGCTAGGGATAACTCCCTTGCTCTTCTTCAAAAATAATTTTGTGGGATCTTTTACATCTGCCAGAGAAGATAGACAGAGCCTTGTTTAAATGTCTCACCTGAAAGACAGCACTTCCAGCATTCAAGGACTTCTGTCAGTACTGCACAGGAATGTCAGCTGAGAAGAAAATTCCAGACAGCAAAGTCAAGACAGGATTAATTGAAGAGTATTATTAACAGTATGCTGTATTCACCACTTGTGGATTTATTTTGCATGAATTTGTTGGAGGTAAAAGTGGGAGCACTTTACATTTTGACTACTGCTTTTCAGCACAACATTCATGCCATTTAAACAAAAAAATTTGAACATCTCTCAAATGGAGCAATTTGTACATGGTAACAAAGTGAGCCAAAAGCTGGATAATCAGCTGGAATTAATATTAGTAAAGGTGGTTAAGACATGGGGAAAATTATCGTCTGTAACCAAATATTTGAATTCTAAATTGCAAATTGGAAGTGTAATGGTTAAAGGTTAAACATGAGAATGAAAATTACCTGGGAGTATGTTCAAGGCAGGGAGTTCAAAAATATAACATTTACTTTTATTATTTAGAGATTCATCAATACATCATGAGCATTCTGCAGCCTTGTATTGTACTCTAAATTATGTAATGACTATTATGCATAACAGTCAGTAGTGTGTATATTTAATACCATTTAGAATAACATGCCTGAAGATATTGCTTAACTAATGTATTGCAAATTTTGAACTCTCAAACATATAATGCAGGTACAGTCTTAGTACATTTGGGGAAACTAGCTGGAAAATGCAGAATTTATAACACACTTAATCCTTTCATAATCATGAGTGATTTTTACAGCTTATTCATGGGTAGGGATGTTATCAGTCCTCTGGAGACAGGCTTGGAGAATGGCTGGTAAAAAGTTGTTCTGAAAGAAGCCCAAAGTTTTCCACAATGGGATATTTTATAAGTCACGAATTGTAACAGGGGCAGTCCACAAATAGAGGGCATAGGTTTAAGGTGAGAGAGGAAAGATTTGAAAGGGACCTGAGGGCTAACTTTTTCACATATAAGGTGGTGTGTACATGGAATGAACTGCCAGAGGAAGTGGTAGAGGTGGGTGCAATTACAATTTTTAAAAGACATTTGGACAGTTGCATGAATAGGAAAGTTTTAGAGGGAACAAAGGCTCTGTTTCCTCATTGTATGCCTCAATAACTTAGCTGCCTGCTCACCAGAAGTGGGTAACCACTTAAGTTAATTGACTAGTCTATGAATGGCCATTTCATGCTCCCCCTAACATTTTAGCGGTGTTAGAGTGATAGAGATCTACCTCATAGAAAAAGGTCCTTTGGACCATTGTGTCTGCGCTAGTCAAAAACAACCAGCTAACTACTCGAATCCCATTTCCCAGCAGTTGCCTTGAATACCTTGGCATCGCAAGTGGATATCTAAGTACTCCTTGAATATTATGAGAGTTTTTCCTGCTATTACCCTTACAGGCAGTGATTTCCAGATTCCCACAGCACTCTGGGTGAAAATATTTTCCCTCACATCACCATTAAACTTCCTGCCCCTTACCTTAAATCTTTGTACCCTGGCCATTGATCCCTGTACCAAAAGAAAAGCTTCTTCCCTGTCTATGCCCCTCATAATTGTACATGTCTCAATCATGACCCCTTTTAATCTCCTCTGCTCCAAGGAAGACAAGCCCAGTCAATCCAAAACAAGAGAGGAGTTGCTGGAGAAACTCAGCAGATCTGGCAACACCTGTGGGGAGCAAATAGAGTTAACATTTTGAGTCTGGTCACTCTTCATCATATACTTTCTGTTTATGTTTCAAAACTGATGCTGGATCTCCAGTACCCGCAATTCTTTGTTTTATCCCAGTCTATTCAATCTCCCTTTAAAACTTAACCTCTCCGGCCGAGGCAACACCCTGGTAAATCTCCTCTGCAGCCTCTCCAGTGCAATCACATCACTCCTATAATGTGAATTTCAGAGCCGTACACAATAGAATCATAGTGTCATATAGCACTGAAACAGAGCCTTTGGTCCAACTCTTCCATGCTGACCAGCTTTCCCAAACTAAACTAGTCCCATTTGCTATAAGAGATAACAAGGTGTAGAGCTGGATGAACACAGCAGGTCCCATTTGCTTGCATCTGGCCCATATCCCTCTAAGCCTTTCCTATTCAGGTACCTGTCCAAATGTTTTTTAGATATTGTAACTGTACCTGCATCTACTACTTTTTCTGGCAGTTCGTTCTGTGTACAAACCACCCACTGTGTGAAAATGTTGCCCCTCAGGGCCCTTTAAATCTTTCTCATCTCACCTTAAAATTTTGCCCTTTTAGTTTTGAACATCCCTACCCTAGAGAAAAGACATTCACCTTATCTATGCCCTTTGAGATTTTATAAACCTCATTAAGGTCACCTCTGAACCTCCTATGCTCCAGTGCAAAAAGTCCCAGCCTATCCAACCTCTCCTTATAATTCAAACCCTCAAGTTCCAGTAACATCCTTATAAATCTTTTCTGAAACCTGTCCAGCTTAGTAATCTTTTCTATAGCAGGGTAACCAGAACTGTACACAGACTCCAAATGTGGCCTCACCAACAATGTGTTGCAACAAACATCTCAATTCCTTTTCTCAATGCTCTGACCAATGAAAGCAAGCGTGCCATTTTTTACTTTTTTACTACCCTGTCAACCACTGTGACACCACTTTCAAGGAACTATGTACCTAAACCCCTAGGTCTCTTTGCTCGACAACACACCCCAGGACCCACCAATTAACTGTGTAAGTACTGCCCATGTTTGTCTCACCAAAATGCACTACCTTGCATTTCATAGAATCCCTACAGTGTGGGAAGCAGGGCATTTGGCCCATCGAGTCCACACTGACATTCTGATGACGTTCCCACCCAGACTTACTATCCTACTCCATCCCTGTAACACTGCATTTCCTATGGCTAATCCACCTAGCTTGCACAACCCTGGACCTACCTGCACATCTTTGGACTGTGGAATGAAACCAGAGCAAGTGGAGAAAGCCCATGCAGACATGGAGAGAATGTGCAAACTCCACACTAATAGTCACCCAAGGATGGAATTGAACCCAGGTCCCTGGTGCTGAAAGGCACTGTGCTAACCACTGAGTCACTGTGCCACCCTACCTAAATTTATCTAAATTAAACTCCATCTGCCACTCCTTGGTCCATTGGACCAGCTGATCAAGATTTTATTGTACTCTTAAATAACCTTTACTGTCCAGTATGCCACCAATTTTGGTGTCATTCGCAAATTTACTAATCATGCTTCCTTTATTCTCATCCAAATATCTAAATAATAAACAACAGTCAACCTAACACCAATCCTTGCAGAACACAGCTGGTCACAGGCCTCCCATCCGAAAAACTACCCTCTACCACCACCCTCTGTCTCGTACCATCGAGCCAATTTTGTATCCAGTTAGCAAGCTCTCCCTGGATCGCATGTGATCTAACTTTACTAACCTTGAACTTGCAGAACTTGTCAAAGGCCTTTGGACAACATCTGCCGTTCTGCCCTTATCTTCTTGGTTATGTCCTCAAAAAACTCAAGCAAGTTTGTGGGACAGGATTTCCCACACACAAGGCCATGCTGACTGTCCCTAATTAGTCTTTGCCTCTCCAAATGCATGTAAATCCAGTCTCTCAGAATCCCTTCCAATATCTTATCTACCACTGACATCAGACTCAACAGTCTAAAGTTCCTAGGCTTCTCCTTGCAGGATTTCTTACATAAAGGCACAACATTAACCACTCTTTTCTTTCCCTAATTATCCTATTATCCTTAATGTACTTATAAAATAACAGGTGGTTTCCTTTATTCGAGCTGCCATTATTCTTTCATGGCTTTTATTAACCCTTAGGAATAGAAAAGACCTTAACCAACAAGCAGCTAGCTCTTTCCTGCAGTAGAGTCAGACCCAATTCCAAACTGCCACCACGCTGCCTCCAAGACCTCCTTTTCCTCACTCTTCTACTGATGCTGAGTGCCTCTGGGTCTTTAAAGCACTGAATAATAATTCATGTTCGAAACGATTACGTGATTATTCTCACGTGCTTATATCAGATAAGGACAGAATCAGTCTCTGCTAGGATGCTTCCCACAGTTGAAGAGCCTGTTGACATTCATTAATGTTATACACTAAATAATTCTTAATGAATATTAACTAAAATACATGTTTATTGAAGTATTGGATATTTAAGTTTGTCATATAATATGATGTTCGGTATTTAACCTCGAGCTGGAGATTTATTCTATATTAAGATGGCATAAATCTGCAAGATAATTTCTGGAAAAGAACTTGGTATCTATGTATAGCTTCAAACGACCTTAACATCTGAGGATGTAGAAGTGACCTAGATTTATTATTTGGGTCTTGTAAATTAAGTATTTAGATTCATAGGGCAGAATCTTATAAGTATCTGAGTGATAGGGGCCCTGGTAAGATGTGCAGCAGAACTGAGCAAGAAGTTCGGCAAGGTCAATCTTGATGTCAAGGTCGTCTCACCTCATCATTTATGGTTTCCACAGGCAGTACGGTGAAATTCTCGCTGGGCAGTGGTGAGTTGTCAAGTAATGCTTGAGGTCCTTGTTGATGGTACAATGGTTGTTTCATTGATATTCTGGTAGTGATCTTACCAAGCTGGCCAATAAAGCAGATGTTGGGAAAACTTGATATGGATAGCAGAACACCTGCTTGGCAGGTGGAGCCCTGCCGCCTGCTCCAAACCTCCATGTTGGACACTGGGCACCAACATCACAGAGTACGCTCACTGAGCACTGGCCATTCATACCCCACATCATGGAAATTAGCATCTGACATGTGTCAGCCTTGAAGAACCCTCATGGCATATGTCCAATCCATATACAGGACAATTCTGCACTTCAATGCTGCACCTTAGAGTGCACCCGTAACTCATTATAATGCTGCTGCAAACACAACGTGCACTCAGGGACATTGCTCACCTCATGGACTAGATTAGGCTACATCTCCAGGCTCTTGGCTCACTGTCATAGTATACTCACTCTGATCCTACCTGAATCGGGATGCTTATAGCATTCCTACATTGCAATGCCTTGCCTTGTCTTTTTGCAGTTATCCCCTCAGCCAGAGATAGCAGGCTCATATTACTTTTAGTAAATTTAACCCCTATCATGCAAACTCAGAATTAGATCAGAAGAGCAAAATAAAGAGTTATTATTTCATACAAAGTGAGTCCAAGGCAAATTTACTCAGGCCTCAATCAAGTCAAGGGAACAGTCTTCACTTAGGGGATCCCAGTATATTAAGTCAAGGGCAGCTTCCAAAATCAGTCCAGGCCCTGCTTCAGGGCAGTCAGAGTCAGGAACCTCTCCTCATAAGGGGTGAGGATCTGAATGATGCACAGCATACCATCCATCTTAACTATTTCTATCTTATTATGGGCCCTATTCATCCTGGAATGAGAAAGAGAGAGAGGGAGAGACTGGTATTAAAGAAGATGAAAGTGAATGGCACAGATATTACTGTTGGTGCAGGTGGGGAGGTATCCTGAGCAATTGAGTAGGGAGTGCAGAGGGCATGCAGGGTTAGTTAGGATGGGTGAGAGTGAGTAAGAGAAGATGTTGCAGGCCACAGTGAGAGTGGTTGCACATGAATCTTGGATAAGTAGCAAAGATAGAGTGAGCGTGAGGTGTCTGAGGGAAGATGGTGGCATTTTTACGGGTGGAGTGGAGAAATTCATTGACTTTCTTTCAATGGTGCTGCACATTCCACCAGACAGTTGAAACTTCAATGACTAATGTGGCAAACTCGGACTCGTCTTGTATGGTCTGGTGTTGTGGCCTTCATTGCTGGTCCTGTGGGCGGAGAAAGTCCCGCCTATGCACCACCCAGTATAATACGACTTCCAAGATTCTGCCCACAAAGCCGTGTACTGATTTCCCACTGTCTGCAATGTTCAGAGCACCTCTGGAATGACAGTGCTTGGCCAGGTGTATAACGGCCTTTTAAAGGTAGTGCCTACACAAGGAATATCACACTGAATTTATTGGAGGGATTCTTGCCATGAACCCATGTGAGTTCACTCACTCAATCTTACCAAACGCACCACATTAATTGCTTTTCCTATCTCTATGGGATATATCATGTCCGATTTCTGACCCACCACATCATGCACTGTTCCTGGAAACAAATCGCCACTCAATGCATAGTCCACAATTGATCAGTATTCCTGGTGTAAGAATCAGGCCATTGTGTTCTGTTGTATATTTTCAGGTCTTCAACCCAGAACAATTGCCAACAATAATTTTATTGCAGTAGAGAAGAAAATAGTACAGCAGTGATTTTGCCTGACAGATGTCAAGTGTGCCAACTCTAGAATATTATGTAGTCTCCTTTATCTGACACTCATTCTTGTTACTGTACATATTTCTAGGTTGCTATGATAGGTTACTGAATTGCAGACTTGTTTCGATATGTGAGTGAAGAATATAGAAATATAGGGCCATAAGAACTGGAGCAGGCTATGTAGCACCACCGCACATTTCCCCTGCCAACAGAAGATCGTTCTGGCATTCAGTAAGATCATGATTGATACATATCTCAACTATCGACCCATCTAGGTCCTGTAAAATTCAATCAATTCAGTTTTTGCTTCAATATTTTTTTGGAGAGAGTTCCACATTTTCACCAGTCTTTATGTGAAGATATGCCTCCTAATATCACCCCTAAAATGCCGAGACCTACTTAAGGTTATGCACTGTAGTTGTGGACAAACAAGGAGATACTTACACTCATTTTAACCAATCATTTCCATTATGTGCATTAACCACCTCAACCAGGGCTGTTCTTAATCTGCTATACTCAAAATAATACAAGTTTAGTGTATGCAACCTGTTCCAAATTTTCGCCTATTAGCCACAATATCATTCTAGCGAAGCAGGACTGTACCTCTTCTAAGGCCAGTATATTTTTCCTGAGGTGCAGTGTCTAAAACTAAACACAGTATAAATGAATATCTAATCACAACTTTGCAGCTTCCAACTTTACCTAGTATCCAAACTTTATTTTAATAATGTGAAGTTTCAACCAGGGACATGGGACTCCCTAAGCTGATGTCAGCTGAGGAAACAGAACTGACAGATGTCACCTGAGGGAAATTTAGCCAAGTTCACATCCCAGTAGGAGTGAGATTCATATTGAAGATTTTCTAATAGCAGGGTGATTGATTGGCATTAGGGAAAGGAAAATATCAATTCTTTACTTTGAAAACTTTTTGGCCAAACTAGCCCAAAAACAACAGAGGTCACTTTGAAAACTATTTGATTCTTTGATTTTTCTTGGGTAGGCAAGGGAGAGTGGAGCTCCACAACAGCCATTGTTGCCCTAGACATTGAGACACCAAAATTTTAGTTTGTGACCCCACTTGGGCTTCTAATCCCCACTTTGCCCTGGACTCACTTTGTATGAAATAATGACTCTATTTTACTCTTCTGGTCTAATTCCGAGTTTGCATGATAGGGGTTAAATTGGTCCACGTAGTCTCTGCCTTCCAAAGGCCTAACATGGAGTGAACAACAACCATAAATACACTTTAAACTGGGACTGCATTATCCACAAAATTGATTAAAAATCAGAGAAGTCCTATACTTACACTTCAAGTAGACCATTAGACATTTTGTAAAAGCAACTAGGGGATGTGATACATGCTCCAGTTCCCCATTTGGATTTACCCAAAAAGTCTATTGCTAACCTAGTTACTATCTGTATTTTTAAAAGTGAAACTTTCAGCATCCCCAATTTTCACCGTTCCCACCACAAAATCCAGGCCCATTACCCCAGAACCCGTCCTTCATTTATGTGACTCCCATTCACTGTTAGCCCCCTAATCCCTCCTGTGGCCCCAATCCTGCCTACAAAATTTTCACCCTTCTGACAATACCAAGTTGTGGCCTTCAATCATGACAGAAACCCCCAATCTTGACATTCACAATCACACAGCATCCCAACCACCAGCCCCTCCACAACCCTGTGACTCCAAGTCTCCGATCACAATCTGAAGGTCCCCTACTCAAGGACTCCCTAGCAAACATGGGGATGGTCCACCTCCATTTTCATGATCAAATCTGAGGTCAATATGAAGGGCTCAAATTTAACCAACAGTATCTTTCAATGAGAGCCCAATTCCTTATTAGTTCTCCATGCGTACCGCTGCTTTGGTATTATGAGTAAACTACCTGCCCTTAAGACAGTGACCATCATCTTCTCCAAAATCACAGAATCACATAACACGAGCAAGCATAATAGTATCTCAAATTTTAATTTCCATTCAGAACTTACTATTCTCTGTAGGAAGTTTACTCATTAATCACTGGCTGATGTCTTGCACTGAAGTGGAGGTGTATGCTTCTGACCTGTATTTAAAACTACACTGCAAGCTTTAATGTTGGCTGTTGGAGGTGAGTAATGAGGCTCAGTAGCAAAGCACGATTCCAGAAAGGACATATCTCTTTGGATGATACAAGTTAGTTCTGCCTTCAGCTTAATGACAGATCACAGTTTTTGATTTGTGTTATGTATTTTCTTAATTGTGCTTTTAAATATAGCCCTGTCCTTGGCACAAGTAGGCTGGCCCCTTCCCTCACCCCATGCATACAGTGAGAGTCCATGAGGGCAACTGTTCTGCCCAGGACCATAAGAATCTACAGAAAGTTGTGAACAGAGCCCAGACAATCACGCAAGCCAACCTTCCATCTATTGACTCCACCTACTCTTCTTGATGCTTCGGAAAGGCAGCCAACATCATCAAAGACCCCTCCCACCCCAGTTATAATCTCTCCCAACCTCTTCCATCAGGCAAAAGATACAAAAGCTTAAACATGTACCAAAAGATTCAAGAACAAATTCTTCCCCACTGTTATTAGACTTCTGAATGGACCTCCCAAATTTCAAATCTAATGTTGGTCTTGCTTTTCATACACCTTCTTTGCAGGCGTAACTTTGTATTCCTCATTCTGTTCAATTACCCTATGATCTCTGTATGGTATGATCTGTGTGTACTGCATGCAAAACAAAACTTTTCACTATACTTAGGTACATGTGATAATAGTAAATAAAATCAAATCAGTTCTTCTCCTATTTTGACCCTCCTCATCATCTCCAGCTCCGCAACCACGATCCTTCTTCAACATTAACAAGATTGAAGAGCTTGGGATGCAGGAGGCCGGGCCAGATGGGCAGAGCAAGGGATGTTAGTGTGAGAGTTTGGATGGAGGGCAGTTGATGGAGTTGGTTGAGGGGATGAGGGAGGCAGTTTGGGGTGAGGAAATTGGCTGGGAGTTTGAGGGATTTGATTGGTGGAGAGAGGGAGTTGGTTGGGGGGCTGAGCGAGTTTATTGAGAGAGTTGGGGAATGAGGGTGACTAAGGGATTGGGGGGGTGATGGTGCACAGAGTCAAGAGTGGGGACGGGGTGTACAGGGTGATTGAGCAGTGCCAAAGATGTTGGTAAAAATGTGGAGAAGTAAACAGAGTCGGGGTGGGCAGGAGGAGGGAAAACAGAGTCAGAGGTTGAAGGGATGGTGGGGGGAGCAGTTGGGCTGGAGATGGGGAGTGGTGGACAGAGTCACATGTGGGCAAGGGGAGGGAGGAACAGAGTCAGGGGTAGAAGGGAGTTGGGGAGAGCAGAACTGGGGTGGAAGGAGGGTGGGGGAAGAGTCAAGGTGGGAGGGCTGAGTCAGTGTAAAGGGGGAGGGGGACAGACTCAGGGATGGAAAGGGGGACAGAGTCAGGGCTAGAAGGAGGGCGGTGGGGACAAAGTCATTGGTGGGAGGGGGGAGGGGAGAAGAGAGGGTGGACGGGGAAGGGAGAAACAGAGTCAGGGTGGGGAGAACAGAATCAGTAGTAGAAGTGGGGTGGGGGAACAGAGTTGAGGTGAAGGAACAGAGTTAGGGGTAGCGTGAATAGAGTTAGGGGTGTAAGGGGGAGGGGTGAACAGACTTAGGGGTTTAAGTGAGGAGGAGAGGGGAAACAGAGTCAGAGATGACACAGTGTGTGGCTACTGGGCTGCAGGACCGTTTTGCCACTTACCATAGTTTGAAGGGCTGTGTGTTCCTCAGTAGAGTCCACATTTGCTACAATGTAAGTCCAGAAAAA